GTCGCGTGTGTTAGTGCACGTTGCGTCGCGTGTGTTAGTGCACGTTGCGTCGCGTGTGTTAGTGCACGTTGCGTCGCGTGTGTTAGTGCGCGTCGCGTGTGTTAGTGCGCTTGACAACGGTTAGCATGAGCTACTAACAACTCATTACATCAACTGATAATGAAGTTAGGGTACATCGAGGAGGAAGAGGGGAATGTGTGGGAAAATTGATTGTAATCCGAAAATGGTCGCAAATAATCGAACGGAAATTTTCAGGTTTAATGTGTTTGAAACTATGGCACCTATGAGCAAGATATCTGCGTGTCTGCGGCTTGCGCAATTTCTCACAACCAACTAAAAGAACTCATAAACTCATAAACTAAAAAATAATAATACTAATATTGCCACAACTAATAAGAAATAACAATCAATTATTTCTAAAAAAATCACAACGGATTAGGGTGGGTAGATCAATGGTCGAGCACGCAAATAGGCGCAAGGTAAAATAGTGCAAAGTAACGTGATCAAAGAACGTTTCGGCTGCTATGACGCTACGCCGAAAGCCCGGCGCACACGTAATTTACTCAGTCAAATGGTATAGAGTTGCTTGATGCATGCGTCAGATTACTGTAAAATTACTCACGTGTGCACCGGGCTTAAGTGCAGACTTTTGTAAACGTGACCAGTAACGACGTATGAGAGTGCGCAGCCGTGACTGTCCGGTGGCGTATCGGGAGCTGTGCGCCGTATCGTTTGACGTAGCGCGATGGTCGTGGAGCGCTATTGTTGCATTTCGCACTTACGAGCATTAGATGTGCAGACCCACTGTTCGTCATATTGTCATCACCGCCACGAGGCTATTATTCATCGGCAAGCACGAGAGGAGTATTCGAAGCTCAATCTCCGCGCGAAATGCTGCACGCGCTTGTGACATGCATGTACTACATATTCTACTGGGTTAGCGCAGTTACACGAGCACTGAATCAAGAACCGAAACAGTGTGAGGAGACATTTAAAGTATACGGGTTCTAAAATACGTAATCCAAAGTTCCGAGTGTTTACAACCCGTATTCGCCATGGCTAGTTTTAACACCAGCGTGAATTGCACCGTGTCGGCAGTTACTGATGACTCCACGCGCATTGCCATCGCGGGAAGATTGATTCTGATGTCGACCATCTTTCTCCTAAACACGCTAGTTCTCGTAACGCTCGTTCGAGGACGCCACGCGGAATTCAGGGACATAAAGTACTGGTTTCTCAGGTCGCACGTGCTCTCCGACATCTTCGTCTCTCTCATCTACATCACCTTCGTGGTTCTCAAGTACAGCCAGACTTTCTGCGAGACGATTTTGGCGTGCATGGTCTCGTTCTCGTTGCTCATGTTCTCCAACCAGCTGTCGACCATGAGCCTGCTGTTTGTCAGTGTCGACCAGTACATCGCCATCGTGCATCCGCTCCGTTACAACAGGCTCGTGAGCGAGCTCTCGGCTAAGATCGCCATTTCAATCTACTTGCTGTTCTCCTTGTTCGTCGGCTTCTTGCCGTTGATCATCCGATGGGATCAGCGAGTCGATCACTTTACCGATTGCTCGGTGACTGTGTTCCCAATCGGCATCGCAGTCTTTTGGGGCATCGTGCAGCTGTACGTGCCGTGCATGCTGATGACCACCATGTATGCGCAGGTGCTGGTCGTTGCCCACCGCCACATTCGTCGGAATATGATGGAAGTGCAGCCACAGAATGTCGACGTTCATCCTGGATCGATGCCGTTGTCGATTCTAAAGGCAGAACTGAAGGTCGCCGTCACCGTTGTGATCATGCTCACGGTACTAGTCGTCTGCTGGTTGCCGTTCAATATTGTCTTCACGATGGACGTCCACAGCGGCAGGGAGTTGTACTCGATGGACTTTGTCGGTCCGCTAGCTGTCACCAATAGTCTCTTCAACCCCATACTGTATCTGATTCGTTTTTCCAAGCTGCGCAAATCTTGCATGGTCATGATTACGTTGAAATGTTCACATAATTCGCAGTCCACAGTCACTCCGAATAATATGGAATTGGAATAACAATATGGTATCTGCGTGGATTAAAGTAGACAGGGCCATGGTGAGGGGCTGGGGTCAGTCAGTCAGGCTGGATCCTCGGTCACCGGGTTCAGGAGGGTAAATTTATAAGAAAGTTTAAAGTAAACGATTTGAGATTTGAAAGGGGAAAAACTGCTAGGGAAGGAAATGCAGCAAGCCGGATTAACAGCTTAGACCTGGTAAAATGTGTGTAACCTTCGTAGGTATAATATTTTTCGTCAGTGTCGAATAGTTTCACTTCTCATATTAATCCTTTCTTTCCCTACCACCCTCTCTCCCCTCTCTCTTCCTTTCTCCCCTTCTCTCTTTCCCTCCATTTTTCTCAAACCCTCTTTCTTTTTATGTTTCTGTTTTCCCTCTCTCGCTCTCTTTCTCTCTCTCTCTCTCTCTCTCTCTCTCTCTCTCTCTCTCTACAACACTTGAATGCACATCTCGCTGTTGCAATCTTGTCGCTCCAATTTCTTCTCGAATTAAATTTTATTGTGTGGAATGAGAGTTTCGTGCTATGTGTGGCCACACCAATTCGGGGTTGTGAGAGAATATTTCGCAATGAATGAATATCGTAAAACGTGTGTAAGAAATGTCATTTTATTCTGGAATCTACTCGTGGCGTTCATTGTTATTATTTCAGTGCCTGTATTCGAGAGATATAATATGAGTATGTTGCTTCTTATTGTCACTATAGGTTTATAAATATATATATATATATATATATATATAAATATATATATTAGCGTCTTGGTTATCTGACCTCTGGTATCGGGCATTCCGTTTTATCCGACATAGTCAATCCGCGTGCTAAGCTGTACAGTGTTGAACTCCACGCGCTTAAGATTTTGCCAAATTTCTTTCTGCTTTGTCTCTTATGCCGCTTTTATACTGGGGTTTATCCCGCTTCAGGTCCGGACCTGAAGCGGGATACCCCCAGTATAAAAGGTCGAAACACCCTTAGCCCGAGCTAAAGTTATCCCGCTTCAGAAGCGGGCTAAAGTCGTGCGCAGTATAAAACGACTTATCCCGAGCTAAAGTTATCCCGCTTCAGAAGCGGGCTAAAGTCGTGCGCAGTATAAAAGCGGCATTAGTGTATCACATGCCGCAATTGATGTAGCTTCGTTTGTTTGACAGCGTAGAAATAAAATAGTTGTAGTCGTTGTAAAAATATACGTTTATACCGTGTACGCTCTGATTCTGTTTTCTTTATTCATATAATTTTATTGCTTTAGGAAAATGGCAAGTGAAAAGAGAATTGAAGTTTTTTTTAGTAATTAGAACAAAATTACTGCACCCTACTTGCTACTTACACACACACACACGCACGCACGCACGCACGCACGCACGCACGCACACACACACACACACACCGAAAAAAACAGGGCAAAGATCCTCATGGTGGTAAAACAATCGTGCGAAATAAAATCTAATAACTTGAATCATTTGTTATTATTAATTTTTTATAACTGAAATATGAGCAAAAGAAATGATTGACAATGACGACGGCAAACGAAGCGTGGCACGTACTCTCCTCCCCGCTCACGTCGGCAATAATCATAGCAAACTTCGCTATAGACACGCGACCCACACAATCGAACAGTTGCAGGCACGTGCATCACCGCCATGATAAGTAGCACGCACATCCTTTGTTCATCTGTCACGATATAGCTGGATTACATCAAGAGTCCATAATAGAAGAAAGCTTATATATTTCTATTTATAATTGTTATTATTATATGGCGCTCTTGATCACATGCGAGATGGCTGTCAGTTTCAATATAAAAATGTTTGGCTAACGCTCCATTAGGAGTGTTCCCAACTTTGATATCATTAATGATTAATGATTAATGATTAATGATTGATAATCCTAACCCTAACCCTAACCTAAATGACATTAAACCACAAACTAATATATGACCATGACCATATATATCTAATATATATATATATATATGTTATTATGACCATTAATGACATTAAAGTTGGGAACACTCCTAATGGAGTATTACCCAAATGTTTTGAGTGAGTGAGAACGACAGCAACAGCGCGTGCGTCCATTCGTGCGAGCGTGCGTGCTTGTGCGCGTGCGTGCTTGCGTACTTGCGTGTGTCCGTCCGTGAGTGTATGCGCGTGTGCGTGTCTGTGTGCGCGCGTGCGTGCGTGACTCTCCACGAATGCGGTTTTCCGTTTTCAGAGCTTATCTAACATCGGAGTTGCGGATGATCGAGGTATCGTAGATGACTAGCGCGTACGATGTACAACTGCCAACAATTCAGCCATGTCATCGTTGATCCATTCCATTAAAGGAAAACCACGTACCTAGATGTCTAGCGCGCCAGCGGGCAAAATTTACTTGCACAACGTCGGAAATCGACGTTGAAATGACGTGGAAACGGGATTGGATTAGCAAATCGAAACAACGTGGAAACGTCAACGTTAATTTAACATTGATATTTTTAACTTTTTTTCGGCGTTGATATTTCAACATTGATTCGACGTTGGAAGTTCAACTTTTGATTCAATTTGCAAATCCGTTAGGGGCAATCCGTTAGGGGATTAGGGGATTAGGTTCAATCCGCAAATCCGAGATCAGTGGCGGTCACATCAGATTTAATAGAGATCAATGGCTTACATGCAAGGTCTGCTTCCTTTTTCTGACGTGAGGTCCAGTGGCGCCCGCAGATAGAAGCACTGGAAGCACAGTGCTTCCAGTAAATTTTGGGTTAAACAATTTTGTTCCTACATTTTGTTCCTAAATCTCTCTCGCAAGACTCACCAGATTGCATCTCCAGACGTCTACCATTCAAAAATTTTCAGGTGGGGGCATGCCCCCAAACCCCCCTAGCATGCAGCGCACCTACAGCGCTTGCTTTTTATTATCACTGAGGATTTTATCCTTCTGTGCTTCTACTTTCTTAAGACCTGTGGGCGCCAGTGGTGAGGTCCCAAATCGGAATACCTAGGACGATTCAAACTGCATGCAGTGCCCCTTTGCTCACTCAGGATAGATTGAGCCCATGAGCGAGAGCGCCATCTGTCGTGGAGTTTGAGGCCGATTGCGTATCGGATTCGTCCGAGGATTGCCGAATGACTGCTGATTCTAGACGGACTCCAAACCAAACCACTCCAAACCGCGGAGGCTGTCCTTATAACAACTTGCTAATGTTACTGCGACGGCGCTTGAGTCCATCTATAAATAAATGTTTACACACGTTTTGTGGCAAGAGGCGGTATCTGGCGGTGACTGAATTCGTGTATCTGATGGTGTTTTGAGTTTGGAAACCCGAATTAAACATGTGAGTGTATTTCCTCTGAAGTTTTAGTCATCATACAAAGACTGTTAGAATCAATAACGATCAATATCGATCATTATTAGCTCAATGTCAGTAATTGGTGGGCGGGATTCTAGGGCGCCAGATTTGGCTCGAGCCGTGCGTTCACACCACTGGCAGCAAGATCAAGCCCGCACGTACAGCACACACGCGCGCCATTGACTATATATATACAACATGGTGTCGAACTCGCCGGCAGTCGCCGCCGCAGTTTCCACAACTCACCGTTTTAAATCAGTTACAACTCCCGTGTTCCTGCAGGTGACGCCACTTTCCAACTATCGTTGGAATCGCGGAACATTGCTTAACAATATACACCCGCCAATTTTGACAATCGGCCCGCCAGAATGCGCTTAAATCACAGAAATTCCTCAAATATACTTGTTAAATGATACTTAGCCTGTTATCCTGTAGCAGCCAGCCGCCGCCAACCGTTGGCGGCTTGCGCTGATTGGC